CCACATGGGAGACCCAGCAGGGGTTATGTGGAGATGTTGAAGGCGAGGAACTCCGCGAGAGGGCACCTGATGGCTTGGAGCGAGAAGCGAGCCATGCAAGAATATCTGAAAGGGCTTACGGAGAATTCTAGCTTAAATCGGAAAGAATACGGCACGGTAATGTCCTCGGAGGCGAACGAAATCGGGCTGGAAAAACTGCTGGAAATCTCTTGGAGGGCGGCCCTCCAAAGATACTTCGACGAGACGATGCATGCACCTACGACGGTGGCAGAGTACCTGGCTCATCCATGCTCGAGAACTGACCTGCAAGTACGGTTGGCTTGGTGCTTGATGGGCATCAAGAAGGCGGAATATGAAGCCAGTAATGATTTGAAATCAAAGGAACAGGAGCTGGAGTTGATGGAAGCCCTACGAGCGTTGATTTAAAAAGACGATTCCGCGATAGCCTGGGCTAAGCGTAAGGATGCTCTTTGCTTTGTAAGGTTCGTTGTGGATCGTATCCCCACTCCTGTTTTGGGAGAATGCATAAAGATCATTCGGCAAAAGGGAGTTGATTGCGAAAGAAACTTCCTTAGGGCACTCCTGGAACTATATCAGGATATGCCGTTGATTGTACCAAATAGGGAGTCGAATGACATGGAGAGCTATCGCAAGTTGGAAGAAATGAGAAGGTATTCCAACAAAGAATTGAAAGTGAGCCGGGAGTTGATTGAAACAGTCAGGGGACAAAAAGACTTTGCAACACTAGGGAAACTGAAGTCGTTCCAATATGTGTCTGGCATACCGGGGATGACGTATAATCCCTTCGTGAATGAAGAAGCCAGGGAAGCGTACTTCGACTATGAGCAAGTCATAGTGCTCAATTTCTGGGTCGAACGGATTAAGGAAACTGGAATGCTGATGGTGGAACAACCCAAGCTGGGAATTATTTTAAGAAGAACGAGTGGTCGAACCCTCGGTTCCTGAGCTGAAGAGGCAAGTGAGTTTTGATTGTGGTTCTTGGGACGGTCCCTTGAAAACCAGCCTAGTAACCATGTGGGAGCTCATGAAGCCTTCTTGGTGTCCCCATCCTAACGCCGGTTTAATCTGGGACATGACGGCGGATATCAGGTTAGACCTGGATGATGATTCGAGTCTACATGATCTGGCCATGATACACCATCTTTTGGCCATGAGGATGACGAAGCGGAAGAGCAACCCATCCACGGAACTATCCGAGGAAAGTCCATCGAGCTATTGGTTGAAGCAAGGCACCTGTTTAGCTCAACATAGTGGGATGGAAGGACATGTTTGCAATTTGGGACACTGCCTGATTACGCTGAGCGAGCAGCATCGACAACTGGCACGATTGTATGAAAGATTGAGCATGTCGGATAAGAGTGGCATGGAGTTGGTCGCGGACTGTCATGGGGTGACGGATGTAAACTTGACCACAGCCTTGGGATTTTGTAGCATGACGAGCTCGATAGAATCGCTTGAGCGCCTGGAGCGTGCCCATGAGCTAGTGACGTCCCTCAGCGTGGAAGTATTCCCTGGAGCATTGCAGACAGAGCAGAAGACTGGAGGCTGGCGAGAAGCTCTGGAAAATGAAATGAATCTGAAGGATAGTGAAGCCTATCATAAACCTACTGGTTCAAAATATCTGGTGGGTTCAAGCTCCGCACCATATTGCAATAGTAGGTATCCTACGCACATGGTGGTGATGGATGCGAGGACGCAGCAGGTGTTGATTGACCATTTTTTCTCTGTGCAAAAGTGCGTGAGGTTGGCCAGAATGTCGGAGAGGTCATATGATTTGTTTGCGAAGTTCTTTCGGGCAGTCCCGAAGAGATCTGAAGGCGAGTTGCAAGACGTAGTGGGTGAAGAGTTCCTGAGATTGAACGAAGGTAATGTGAGCGAGTTCCAGAAGCAGAAAGCGAGTGGAGCATTACCCACTGAATTCCCCACCATAGAAGAGAAAGACGATTTGCACCGAGTTATGATGGAGGTAGAACCGTTGCTGGGAGCCTCAGGGTATCGGACCCGAAGGAACATATTGAGAACCCATGGGGAGTATCCTTGCCACTGCTTGGCGCAGACGTTATGGTACCCCAAACGCGGGATTCTGATGCTAGTATGGGACGTGGAGGAGTTGTACTCTACAGGTTTACCCGATCAGAATCAAGAGGTGTCAATCGTGGTGGTTAGTGCCATGCTGGCAGTGAGGTGGTTGGATGCTAACGCGGACACAAGTGAACAGGAGATGGCCGTGCCGACTCCTGAGCAGCTGAGCAACGTGAAGATGAGCCGCGAATTGGATCTTTTCAGAACCACCTGCAAGGTTCTGAGAATACCCAAAGCCATTGAAAGAATATGGTCAAGGCAAAGGTTGATGACTTGGTTCCGTGCAGTGATGACGTCTTGGATGTATGAACGCGCGAAGCGTCACATGTCGAGGAACACGGGAGCCTATCAATCTTTCCAGCTAGATATAGGACCGGGAGCCTATAAGAGAGCATTCCTAACGCACAGAAACGCGGTCACCACGGCGGTGAAGCGAGTAGCTGGAGCGCCTTGTGTAACTGAAGATGAGAAGAAAGAGGTCTTAAGAGCTGACCTAGAACGAAATGAGAGCCTGTGCCTTCATAACAGCTTTTGCAGGAACCGGGAGCAAAAGCTGAATGTGGACCTGCTACCTTGTTGCAAACCGAGGCTGTTGGAACAGGAGAGTTCGGGTACGGCCCGCAACCCCATGGACATGTTGGAAAAAGTCCTAGAAGACAGTGAAGCTGAAGATCAGGATGGAGAAGCAATGGAATGAAGATGATGGAACGAAGAGGATAAGTGAAGACGTGAACAAGAAAGGAAGAGAAGGAGAAAAAACTTGATTGTCTTTGTGTGTTAAAACTTGAACTAATCAACCAAGTTTTGATTATTGAACTTGTTAAAATTTTTGTTTTGATCTAGTTTGGTCAGACCAAACTTTGAAAATTTTTACAATTGTTAAAATTGTTGAAAGAAAATTTTAGTTGTGCTACTTATGTATATATATAAAACATAGGTGAGTATATTTACCTATTTAAACACGACTGAAATTTTTAACCTGTGTATGACACAATTTCACTGTGTGGCGACATAGTAAGTTTGAGTAAACTCGCTCGGAAAGGGTGAGTAACTCAATAACTTTCCTAGCCACAGAGTTTCTTAGTTTTAATATCGAATAGGACCGCAAAAATAACTGATTATACTTGGTGAGTGACGTTAAATTAATTTTAACGGGTGCGTGACCGTGCCACGTCCCAACTTTTCAATCACAAAGAGCGAAAATAAGTTTTATGGCTAGATGACGTAAGTAGTCAGAAATTTTTTTTTATCTAGGACACTCCTCATGGTGCAAATTTTGTGAAAATGTTGAAAGGCAGTGAGATGTAGTACGATGCCATTTGTGACACGTAGTGAGTTGAGGTGGAGTAGATAAATTTCATTTTCTCATGCGATTTGTAAGATTGATTACAGAGAACTGGAACACTACTTGACGATAACCCGGTGTTATGCGATCAGTAGGGACATTGATGGGGACTTGTCCGTGGAGAATGTGCCATTCTGCCAGACTGGCACAGCGCGACCTTCCGGCGGGACAGAAAAAAACGACTAAAGGCCTAGGTAACGAAAAAATACTGCGAAGGAGGGTAGGAATATTCTAGAATTTTTATTTTTAAAATTTCGATCAAAGAGTGAATATTTCTCAGAAACACAAAAAAGACGGCCATTTTGACAAAAGGGAACGAAAAAACAGAACAACAACAAATATAGTGAGAAACGGTCGTACGGGAACACGAGAAAAACGGAGTCTCTTATCGTGGCAATAACACACGATAGGATCCTTAGCAGTGGAAATTAGTGAAAAAGGAAGCTTCCGTGGGGAAGGAATATTCCACGGAACCCTCCCGTGCCACAAATTGGGAGAGATAAGAACGTTATCACGAGAAGATTACGGAAGCGGAGACTTGGTCCCCCAGAGACTGCTATATACTGAAGGACTGCAGTAAACTATTTTTTTAGCTACTCTGATGCCATAGAACTTTGAAATAACACCGGTATTGTTTGATATTTTAGAGTATGAGTAGCTAGAAAAAGGAAAGGGTCAATCCATCTCCAATGGATTTAATAAAGAACTGTCACCCAAAAACATATTAAAGGTATTCGAGCCGTGTTTTTAATAGCAATCACGTAGTCTGAGGATCCGAGACTCAGCTATGTGGTTGTGTTCGCATGTAAACGAAAGCTGATCAAAAGTCGTTTGACTGATGGCCTAAAAATAAAAACTTTTTACTTAGCCTTAACAGACCAGAAAATCAACTGGCAAGGTCGAGACGGTGAAAAACGAGTAGGATTAAGGTAACTGACGCCTGCCAGTCTTTAATAGGTACTTTTTCTACGCTCCGTCGCTGTGTAGTATTTGGGCGAATGTTACACTCGAATCTCGCAAGAGTCTGTTGTTCTTTCTCTTTCTTGTGGATAATAACTTTTTTACTGGATTAATGAGGATGTCTAATGTTCTCAATCTTTTGAGTATGTCTGTGGTGTTGGTTCGTTTTGTGTATACTATTGGTGCGATCCGCTGACGCAGTCCGTGGAGAATCGAAAGCAGTAGTTCTACGGAACAAGGTTTCCAACTGTTGCTGTGGTGGGGGGCCTCAGTATTGTTTATCAAGTCGTGCCACAGAATAAGTTTTTCTTCGTTCTTCTGGATTGACTGGTAGTTCTTTTTTGTGGCAGGGTTGATGCTCAATCCTCATACTGATGTCTGGATGGGGAACATTTTTCGTTGGAAATTTCTAGGGATGCGTCGATGGCCGCACGTAAAGAGCTTGCGCCAACAAAGTGCACCATAAATCTTCACCTGCAATACCTAGAGCAGCAGGACTTTGCTATTTTTTCCGTTCAATAAAGCGATTATAGATTTAGCTCTAGGGCATATATCTGAAAATATACAGTTTGTATACGGGGAAAGGAAATCTATTTAATAAGTTTATCACAACAATTAGGCTGACTTACAGTATTTACTGCAAGGGTCCTTTTTTTGTGTCATTCTAGTTGCGGAGTGCTGAATGTGATAGTTGTCCCAGAAATCTGCTTTTAGAGAAATTTACAGCAGATCTTTATTTCCTCAATTCCTCGGGAACTACTTCGAAAATATTTAGTTAAGTTTTTTTGTCTATGCTAACCTATAGACTGCCAACTTGTTTGCCCAACTATGATTGATTTTGGATATGGTTGAATGTGATTGAAGCCAGTTAATTATGTTATTATTCTGTCTCCTACTTTAAGTTGTAGGTGATGCATATGTTTTTTGTATTTAGACCTCAATCTTTTAAGTAGACATTTGAGTAGTCAGACAGGTCATTAAGCAGACAAATTTGACAATCGAACTCCCCTGGTTACCTGCCCTAAATTCTTTCGCGCGAAAAGGTCAGAGATCATTCAAATGCTGCTCTTTCTTGATACCATATATTCAGCTATAAGCAAAAATGAAGTAGTAGACGTGATACATACCGATTTTGAGAAAACTTTTGACAAAGTAGATCACGGTATTCTGATTGATAAGCTCTACTCGCTGGGAATCAGAGGCAAAATTTTAAAACTAATTCATAACTACCTGACAAATAGAACACAGTGTGTCAAAATCAAAGACTGTCTGTCCCAATTATTCTATGTCACAAGCGGTGTTCCTCAAGGATCAATCCTCGGGCCATTGTTTTTTCTAGTCATGATTAACGGGGAAACGGACTTTATCCTCCACGGTAATTATCCTCCAGGCGATATCCTCCACCATTATCCTCCATTTCTCAAACAGGGTCTTTTTCCTCCATTTTTATCCCCCAATTTTATGAAATTGGATGTTCATGGTCAGCTGCATGAAAAAGATGGGAGCTGTGCGACCAGTGGTTCAAAAGTTATGACCCGAGCCGTAAACAAGCTCAAAATGAGGTCCAAAACTGACGAAGTTGCTTCAGTTGGCTTGAAAATTAACAAAGCTTGCTCGTAGAGCTTCCGGGATAGGCCCATTCGCTTCCTCGTGAAAAATAGGTCTTAGAACCACCTTAGATGAGCTTGCGCGACCCTTGGTTGAGCTGCAGGAGCGACAGATCGACTGGAGGATATCGCCTGGAGGATAATTACCGTGGAGGATAAAGTCCTGTACCCTGATTAACGGCCAAGTGTATGTAAACATTCCACCAGCTTTCTATACGCAGACGACGCAAAGTTCTTACGAATTGGTACAGTTAACGCAGATTTTCAGAAAGACCTAAATAACATCTTTACGTGGACTCAACAAAACCAGATTGCGTTCAATGCGTCAAAATGCACTCACCTACCGGTTAAACGTGCCACAAGTAGCGACTTTTACTTCGACTCAATTTTAATTAAGAAAGCCTCAGAGGAAAAAGACCTAGGAATAATTGTAAAATCGGATCTAGGCTGGACATCGCATATTAAACTTAGAAGAGGAAAAGCCCTCAGCACTCTATGCATGCTGAAGCGCAACCCACTGCCTCTTAATACCAAGACCAAACTTAATCTGTTCAAATCCATGGTAATTCCAGTTTTGCTATACGGCTCAGCGTGCTATCAATTGAACGTCGAAGAAATGAAACTCTTAGAAGGTGTTCAACGCAATGCATGCAAATGGATTGCAACAGATCCTAATTACAAAACGTCGCTTCAGCGTCTAGGAATACTGCCATTACCCATGTACATTCAGCTCAATAATTTACTTCTACTATTTAAAATCCTCAATAATCACTAGGACTTCAATTTTTCTGACCGTTTTCCGCCAAAAAATGACCTAGCTAATACAAGATCTCGTTTATTTGAATGTACACGCCCTGCAAAATTTGTTTGCGAAAAAAATTTCTGGTTTCATGCAAAGAGGCTGGCTAATTTGGTTCCTCAAAAAGTGGACTTTACCAACACGATAGGACTCAAAGGACGGTTGCTGCAATGGATGTGGGAGCTTTTCGAGAAAATATTCGATGACTCCAACCCCTGTAGCTGGAAAATTCTGTGCGACTGTACCCGAAACAACTGCAGAAATATGTCTAACTAACTTAAATGAAACTGTGGGGGAAACCCCTTGCGTACGCTAAATTCATATTATTATTATTATAATATAATAATTATGATAATAATAATTATTATTATAGTCAATTCTGCTTGTCTGAAAAAAGACGAAATGAATGTTATTTTGAAATATCCAATACGTGGTAGAAAAAAAACTTTTTTCCAACAGTCATGTAATTTTTCCAGCGAAATAGTTCATATTCAATTGATAATGGACAACGTTATGAATTGGTCGGCGTTTGATATGTTGGTTTCTGCTTAGAAAAAGTCGCCTTAGAAAAGTCAATTAAAAGTCTTTGAAAATTATGTCTGCTCATTGACCTGTCTGCTAACGCAACCATTGATTAGTGACTTCTACGTAAACTTGTCTTAATAAGAAGACAACGTGTTCTAGAAGAAGAAGAAAGAACACTTGAATTACTATACAATAAAAAGCCGAGGCATCAGTGTAGCAAAGTGTAAATAATAAAATTGGTTATAAATTCATTGGTTACATCAAACAAAAACAAAACATCAGAAAACAAGCAATAAACAAAACAAAAAAAAAACAAAATCGGTTACAGTTCGGAAATTGGTTGATTAAAGTATATGAAGTTTCGGATACTATAGAAAATTAAAGATTTAAGAATTAGGAACAAGCTGGTAATAAAACTTTACAAACAATTTTACAGATAGTCCAATTATACAACGTATATACAGAGTATATACAGTTTCTCTTTCAAGCAATGTGTGAAAAATTAAACTGAATTAAAAAATATAGAACTAGCAAAAACGGTAATCACGCCACGTATTTGTATTAGTACATATAGGATTGTTTCTCAATTCACTCACGTAAAATTCTTTCAATTTTTTCTTGAATTCTGTTTTCGATTTTTCTAAATTGCGCAAAATTATGGGCAGTGAATTCCATTTTTTAGAAGTCAAATGAAAAAATGATTTTTGTAGAGAAGCAGTCGAACAATGTTTGTCAAAAATAATTTGTTTCGTTCTTTCGTTGAGCCTATAATTGGCAGTCGGTAGTCTCAGTGTATTTTCAAAAGCCTTCTTTTTGTTTGTAAGATATTGGTATAAGTATGTTATACACTTTAACTCAATTCTTTTCTCGATTCCAATGAACGATTTGCTAATGCGAAGAAGGGAAGAAGATTTAAAATTCGATCTGAAATATGTTCTTTTTAGCGCCCAGTTCAACTGTTTCTCCAGAGATAGCATCAAAGTAGCATTAATTTGTTGTAAAAAAATTGCTGAATAATCTAAATGTGATAAAACAAGACAATGAAGCAAGGCAACTAATGATAATGTCGGCAGTTGTTGTCCAATTGTATCAATAGTTTTAATCCCTTGGGCCATTTTTTGGAGAATTGTTTTGATTTGAGCATGAAAAGATAAACTTGAATCAAGAATTATGCCTAAATATTTGCATTCTGATTTTTTGGCTACATAATGCCCACTAATTACTAGTTTATCAGTATCCACATTTTTGTTATCATTTTTTTGACAAAATGTTATAAATTCCGATTTAGATGCATTCAGATTCAATTGGTTCTCTGCAAAAAATTCCGTTAGATTATTGAGTGATTTTTGCAATCGATTCAAAGCATCCTCAGAAATTATAGAAGAGGAAAAAACCATACAGTCGTCAGCATATTGAACTAAAGTACAACCCTCATATAATCGCTCTTGTATGTCATTAACATAAATATTGAACAACAACGGACCAAGTACCGTTCCTTGTGGGACACCTCGTTTTATTTCAATCCAGTCTGAAAAAATTCCATTGACGTTTACTCTTTGAATACGTTTGTTTAGGAAGCTAGCAATTAAAGCATTTGCTCCATTTGAAAAACCGAGAGAAAGCATTTTTTCAATTAAAACTTCATGCGAAATAGAATCAAAAGCCTTGGACAGATCTAATAAAGCTGCATGTACGATTTTTTTTGAATCTATTTGATTTCGAATACTTTCTGTCACATAAACAAGAGCATCTTGTGTTGAAATGTTTTTGCGAAATCCGAATTGAAATGGTGTCATTATTTGAAATTTGTCAAGATGTTCTGTTATTTGGGCATGTAAAATTTTTTCAAAAATTTTAGAAAAAGCACAAGTTATTGATATTGGCCGATAATTTTTTGCATCCATTGGGTCATCTTTTTTGAACAAAGGGGTTACGTTTGCTTTTTTCAGTTCGATCGGGAAAATGTTCTCATCTAAGCAAGTATTTATGACAAAAGTTAAATGTGGAACTATAACTGATTGACCGTCAATGATTGCCCAAGCAGGTACGGTACAAGGTCCGAGAGGTTTTCCAACATTGATTTTTCGAACTATATCAAAGCATTGCTTCACTGTAATGTGTTGAAAATGAAAAGATGCAGATTCAGAGGCAGATTTGTTGTAATTCGGAGGCTTTTTAGCGCCGAAAAATTCGCCTAAGTTTGAAAAAATATAATTTAAATGATTGGCAATTTTTTTGTCTTGGGTTATCATTTCACTGAAGGAATTTTGTAGAACTGTAATTCGATGGTTGCCAGAACATGTACCTCTAACTTGGTTAATATATTTCCATTTTTGTTGGATAGTGCTGAGAAGTGAAAAACAATTTTTTGAATGATCGAATTGTTTACTTCTAATCAATTTGCTCATTTGATTACGTAAAAACTGGTACTTTGACCAATTATCGCTTGTGCTTTGACTGCGATATGATCTGAGTGAATTCTGTTTCTTAGTCAACAATTGCTGACATTCTGAATCGAACCATTCCGTTTTCAACACGTTTTTTGGTTTAAAATTACGAACAAACTTTTTTTCGATAGGAGCATGTTGCTGTAGAGCACAAGAAATTAAATAAATCATCGTCGAGAACATGTTTTGTGCGTCTGTACATTGATATAAGAGATACCAAGGAAGAGCGGAGAGT